ACTTTCAATAGATTCTCGACCATCTTTGAAGCATTTGTGCCACACTTTTATTTGCGTTGCACTCATTGCATTGCCCCCAAAAGCCTTCTGAATCATTCAACTAGTTTCCACAGAGAAATAGTCAAGCTTAACACAGAATTTGATGCAGATTGGTTGACTTGCCCATTTTCAGTGTGATGGCCACACAGTATGATGGTCACACAGTGTGATGGCCACACACCCACTCAACAGTGTCTACTGCCCCCACTGACTAGTCCAGTGAAGTCCTCATTGTTCACACATGTGCACACCAGTCCACTCTTGGCCACCAGGTTACACTGATGTCACACAAACTGTTCTTGTTATATTAACAATGGCTGGACTTTTTCTAGACAGACCTTTTATAACATATAGCTCAATGAGATATCACAAAATGAACACACCTGTGTAACCACCCATCATTGAAGTAAAAAATTTGTTTCTGCAAAAGCCCTCTTACTGATTCCCAACCACTGTCCTTTCTTTGCTCCTCAAAGTTAACTACCCTCCCAACTCTTCTAATATGATGGATTAGTTTTGCCTGTTTCATAAACTTTGTATAAATTGATTTAGTCATAATGTACTATTTTGTTTCTGGATTGGTGAGGTTTCTCCATATTTTGTGTAGTATTACTTTATGTTCCTGATTGGATATTATGCCATCGTATGATCATACCATAGTATATTTAAGCATTTTTTAATATTGAAGGAAAATTCAGTTAGTATTATGATTATTGCACACATGCATGCTTTTCTATTGAGTATATGATAAGACTTGCTGCATCAATTTACAACATTCTGACTTTTAAAAGAGATGGTAAGAAATTTCTTAAGGCACACAAAAAAAACTACATTTGAGTATGTTATAATTAACTTTCTTACCAAAACACCAAAATGATAAGCCACAAGCCACAAACTGGACACACATGTGCAATGAAAATATTAGAATACATTATGAAGAATTCTTAAGTATAAAAACGGAAAAATACAAAAAATAGAAAAATAGACAAAAGACATCAAGAAGTATTTCACAGAAGAAACAGGAATGACTAGTAATCGAGGAAACATTTAATGAATAAGGACAAAATAAAGTAAAGCCACAATGAAATACAATTTTATACCTGCCAGACTGGCAAGAATTAGGTGTTACAATAGCAAGCGAGCAGTAAACCATAATGTCAACTTTGGAAAAAACTTGGTATTATTTGTAAAACTGATACAAAGCTAACCAAGCACATACCTACAACCAACTCTACTTGTAGGTATATACTCTAAAAAACACTCTTGCACATGTGTACTAAGAAACTATATGAAATATGACTGTTCATTTTAGTGCTATAAAAGCCAAGAAAAGGAAAACGATATCCAACACAAATTGCAGCCTTTCCACCAGGTTCCCCCGACCCCCAAGCACCACCTGAACTAGCAGAGCCCTCCTCTTCTTCCAGCTGCCGGCAACCTGATCAGCCAGGATGAGATGTTCTCTGATACCTACATCTGGAAGATTACAGTCAGGCTGTGCCTGGTGGGGAGAAGAGGGTCAGTGGACAGAGAATTACATTGATGAGTTGGTCATTGGTGGCAATGTCTCCACTGAAGGTCCTGAGGGCACAGTTTCCAAAAGCACAGCCATCACTGGTGTTGATATTGTCATGAACCATCATCATTTGCAGGAAACAAGCTTCACAAGAAAAGTCTACAGGAGGTACATCAAAGACGACATGAAATCAATCAAAGGGAAACTTGAAGAAGAGAGACCCACAAGAGCAAAGCCTTTGACAGGGGCCACAGAACAAACTGAGCATATCCTTGCTAATTTCAAAACTCCCAGTTCTTGACTGATGAAAACCTGAATCCAGATGGCATGGTTGCTCTGTGGGAGTACCGTGAGGATGGTGCAACCCGCATATGATTCTCTTTAAGGATGGTTTAAAGAGGGAAAAGAGTTAAGAATCTGGAATTTGGGTCTGTCACCTGTCATCATAGCTGGCTGCTGCTTTTGAGCCACACACCAGGACTAGGACAAATGGAACTGATGTTATCTTGAGTTCTTCATTTATTTTGACCTTGATTTGGAGTGGAGGCATTGTTTTAAAGAAATGAATGGCATGTAGGTTGTATAAAAATAAAATGCATTAAAACTCATTTGAGAGAATGCCTCTTAGTTTAATACATATTTAAATTCATCCTGTATGGAATTCCCGGAGAAGCTAAAGCCTGGTTATACCCCACTACTAAAGCATAAGACTGTCTTCAGATAATTTCTACAGTGAAAACAACTCTTGAGACTGGAATATAAAAAAACAAGGATCAAAAGTCTTAATTCTGAGTTGAAGTAAAGGGAAAGACCAGGTTCATAGAAAAGCTAACATTTGAAGTGGATTTCTTAGACATTTCATCACCTACAAACAGAACTGGAAGAGATTACCAAAAGAATAAAAAGACACTAATAGAATTTGAAAAAAAATCACAAATCTGTTGAATACAAAAAATCAAATACATAAGACTAACAGTATAATACTATTTTATTTATTTATTTATTTTTAGAGAGAGGGAAGGGAAGGAGAAAGTGAAGTAGAGAAACATGCACCCCTAACTGGGGACCTGGCCCACAACCCAGGCATGTCCCCTGACTGGGAATCGAACTTGTGACCCTTTGGTTTGCAGGCCCACACTCAATCCACTGAGCTATACCAGCCAGGGTGATACTTTTTTTTTAAATGAAGCTCATCAACAAAAGTAAACAATATGTAACTCAGGGATATATGTATAAAAACTAAAGAAAAAAAGCAAACTAATGATTGATCAGGATACTTACCTCTCAGGTAGGGTAGGTGGAAATTGAAATTGAGAAGGCGCACTAATGTGGAATTGATCCTACCAGAAATATTCCAGTTCTTAGTTAGAAAGTAGGTATATGAGTGTTTTATTAGTATACTTGATAATATCCACATTGCATATATTTATATATGTATCAAATATATACAGAAATAGTGACCAGTGGCTACCAGAGGCAGCTAGTTGTAGGGAGTAGGTGAAACGGGTGAAGGACAGAAAGACATAAACTTCTAGTTCTAAGTCCTGAAGACGTTATGTACAGCATTGTGACTATGGTTAGTAAGACTGCATTATCCATTTGAAAGTTACTATGGATGGTGATGGATGTTTAATTGGACTTATGTGGTAACCATTTCACAATACTCACATCTACCGAATCATTATGCTGTACACCCGAAACCAATATGTCAATTATATCTCAATAAAGTAACAGGAAAGTGACAAAAAAGAATGTAGTGACCAGAAATACTTTTATACTGCTAAGAGACTGTGAAAAAGCAAACCATCTTCCCTTACAGGCACATAGACAGTCTTGTGAAAGCAGAGTTATATAGCTGGTTAGGTGGAACAGTTAACTTTTTCAGTCATAAAGAACTGATTAGTTGTGGATCTTGAAATACTTAATGTCTTTGAAAGAATTTTTTAACTGTGAAATGCAGAATTATTGTAGAGATTAAAATATTATTTAAAATGTTATTATAAAATAACTGGTACAGACTATACATTTAAAAAATTATACATATCAATACTCCTCATGACTAGTACTCAAGTGTAAGAAATTTCTCATACTAATGCATTGTTCAGGTAGACTGAATTTAGCCTCGGTCATTAATAGAAGAGTGATTTGTTAAAACAGCAACAAAAACAACTAGAATTTTGTGCATTCAAGTAAAGTTTGCCCTCGAAGAAGCTATATATTTCATTCACTGAAGGTATATTGCTCAGGGTAATTTTAGTACTCTTCCACTAAAACTGTTTACTTTTGAAAAAAATTTTTCCAGTGAAAGAAAATATTCTTTGCGGGTAGATTTCACCTGTGATAAGCATGAAATAGTTTGAATCAAGTATGATGAATAAAATACACGGGACCATAACCAAGTTAAGACACTGCTCAAAATCAACATGACTTTCATGAGACCAGTTCTCTTAGATGATGAATGAGATCTTCAGGCTGTTTTTTCAAAGAGGAGTTTCAGGTAAGTTTTTAGGAACGGCAACACAGCTAAAAAATAAAACTGTAGCTTCATGAAGTTACTACCTAAAAAGACAACATTCATCTTAATGCATAATGAATCTCAATTCTATGCAGTACAAGCCTGCAGTTGCTTAGTGGCTGATTCTATCAGCTACCTTTAACTTCTGTAAGGGTAACAAACACCTTCCTATTTTCAGTTAAACAGAAAGATCCTTTCTATGAGAAAAATATTGCAGCCAACCTACTAAATTGATTTTTATTTGAGCAATGGAGAATAAATAATTACATTGCTTTGATAAGATTCATAAAAGTAATCGAACAGTGAGATGTAAAGTTTTATCGACTGTATAGACATTCCTATTTATAATAGATACATGCAATGTATTTTAATAAGTAGCACTGATATGAACCCAACTCTTTGATCTCAGTACTTGATAGTGTATATGATAATTTATTACTTTGATTTGCTCTGGAGTATTACTATACAAATTTACGTATGGTTTTAAGAAAATATTATGTTGAAGTTTTATTGCCACCTGTAAACTCACATAAAGGGGAAGAGAGACAGAGCCAATGGCATCCCAATAGTAATTTCTTTACAAGTCTGAGATGAGAAATCACAGAAAACATTCTTAACTGATAGGACATGAATTAGATTCTAGATTCGTTCTCTACACAGAAGAAAAGGGAATAAAATTTTTTCACATCATTTGTGAGAGTAGTTCATGTAATTTCGACAATCTCTTAAGTAGATATTTAATAGCATTTTAAGTTCAAAATACACTTGGCAATTAAGACAATGAATAATAACTCCTCAAAGGGAATACAAAATGTATTCAAACATTAAAAAATAATCAATTAGTTACACAAAATATAGTGAAATTAGTCAAAAGCAGTATCGAGTAATGTTTTTAAAGTGGCAGTGCAGTACCCGTGAAGCAGTGCTTGTCGCAAGTACATGGGAAAACCACACAGAGCACCTAGCGATACATCCTGAAGAAATAGTATGCAGATTTTCATTTTTTCTTTTTTCCATGTATAATGTCAAAATTTAGCTCTATTTTATATCACTTTTTGATAGGCATTTTAACACCTAAGCTGAAAGTAAACAGGCCTCATAATTAAGGAGCCACCTTTTAATATTTCATCTCTTTATACCTATGAATATAATCATCTTTCAACTGCATGATTCCTTTGGCCAGATTCTCATTTCATATCTTAAAGAATATGTGTTTAATAAAGAGATCGTGCATATGATTCCCCTATTTATCTTTCCAACCATTGCCCGGTCCTTCAAGGCTGTGCCTCTGACTGTTGACCACACAATGTGCCAGTCAGCCACATGTTCCACTGCTTTGTGTGACTTCTCTTATGAGTAGTTCATATTTTATGGGTAGCTGGGGTACCAGGTTAGTATGCTAGATGACTACTTTAAAATAAAAATCACAGTTGGAAATGAACATCTTTATGTTCCTAAATTCTATACACATGACAAAGGCAGAAATGTTAAAGAAAAAATATTTTAATCTTAGAAATAAGATCGAAATCTCCTTCACCACCAAATAAATAAAATAACTAGTAACTACAGCTCGACAAGCACTGTAATACAAGAATGCCGTTAGATATGACAAATACACAGTTGAAGCCAGATTATGAGACTAATTCTCTACATCCAGCCAGTTGTAGCCAATCTAGTAAGTACTAAGGAGTTAAATGCTTTGGGGACTGACTGAATATGGTTATAGGTATATAAGAGAACAAAAAATTATGCCAAAAAATGGCATAATTTGGGAAATTTTAAATCTGCTTCATGAAAGACCTTTTTCTGCTACGCTGAACTCTCCTACAATTTTGCCCCCCTTTTTTGGAGGGTCTAATTATACCTAATAGATACTACCTTTGTAATGTGGCTTTTTGATCTGCTGCACTGACAAGCCCAGGATGCCCTTCAATGAGGATGGTCAGAGCTACTAACTAGGCAATGAACTTCAGGGCTAGCTAGAGGGGTTAGTGCTCTTCATTCCCCTGCTTCCCTGTGAAACAGAAAACTGACCAGCAGTGAATTATACTAAATTCTAAGGCATAACTAAAGGAAAACTTAGAAAGGCCTAGAAGAGAAGTATCAAACTTCATTGCAAATACAAAAGAGAAAATCTTTAATATTCTTCATAAATATTTATAAAAATATGTACATATAATGAATAGGTCATTTTATAACGCTGGTTAAACCACGAAAAGCTGTTAAATCAGTAGGTATATGAATATCCTAACTTCAAATTAATGTACAGAAATATTTTCAATTAAAGTTCAATAAATATACCAAAGGGGATTAAATAAAACAGGAAAAAAAACTTTCTCTGTTTTACCAACAATATCTTTTATTTGTGATGATGAACTTTAACTAATCAGTAAACTACAGTCTATATAAGGTTTATGTAAAAATGCATTCATTTTCTAATAATAAATTAATACAGAGTCTGTACAGTTAGAAACACCAGGACAGTGGCAAACAGCAAAACAGGGAGTTCAGAATCAAATCAAAAAAGAGTACTGAACATACTTTTGGGTTCCCTCATTAAGGAGACACATAAGCTGTGCCATTTTTTCTCAAGGTTTCTTCACTGGGCACCAGAATAACATCAACTCTAAAGGCTTCTAATATTTCCTCTAGTTCAACTTTTGCTTATTATGTAAAAATTCCTTTTTGTATGAGATGAAAAAATAAAAGTGTACACTCATTCAGGTTGAATTAGGTCAGCTAGGTCTCTTGGTGTCTTAACAAGTGAAACTGAAATTAAGATCTTCTAATACTCCTATAAGTTTCTGAAAATGCAGCCGAGTGGCATGCAGAAAGAGGACACATTTGTTTCTACTTCTGTAAATATCCAAGGAATTGAAAAATCAACACCTAGAAAAAAGCAAGGCATAAATTCATCAGCATCAAATAGAACTGCTCTTCAAAAGGAGGTTTCTTACCTATCCTGATACCCTGGTGTTGATGAATAGGTTCTAATCTGGCCTCTAGGAAAAATCCACTGGCTAAGGTTAATACCTTTAGGCAAAAGAAAATGTACAACTAAACAAATGACTGTTTTACATTTTGATTCATCTACACTTTTTTAAATGGGGATTTCAATATTTGGCATGATTTTAAACCTTTTTTTCAGAGCAGGTATGATTTCAGGTTACAATGTCTCCCTTCCCCACTCAATTATTTGCTAAAGTGGGAAGAAACAAATTTAACTTAATTACTAATAATTCTTTTCCTACTATTCCAAAAGTTGCACTTAGTCACAATACAACAGTTTACATTTAGATAAGACTCTAGTAGTAGTTAAAATTGTTCAAAGATGGTCATACAAAATCCGGGTCATCTTTCTTGACTATCAGACAGGACTAAATCGTTGATGGCTGAAACTCACATACAGTCAACCACATTACTGGGCCCGTGACCTACATCTCGAATTTGGCTATTTAAACAGGCACACACAGCTACACCTGCTCCAGCTCTGCAGTGGGACACAGATCCAACCAGCTCCCATCTGAAAAGATAGAGAGAAAGAATGTTATCTTGAAGCAAAGCCTGATCTACTCAAAATATCAACAAGATACAACCTGCTTATTACAGGACTGGTTTTAAAAGACACCAAGCCTTCTTAGGAAGATAAGATATCCCAAATGTTTTATGTTAACTATATCTAACAGCATTTTAGCACTGTGAAGTAATCAGTTACTGGAAGATCCCATTAAAGCAGATAACAAAAGTTACCTGTTCTGCACTGGATCAAATGCTTCAACAGTATTTAAGTATGCATTGCCATTATGACCACCAACTGCAAAGATCTTGCCCATCACTGTTGCAATCCCCACTCCACCCCTGGGAGTGGTAAGTGCTGCCACATAATCCCACTTGTTGCTTCGAGGGTCATACCGCTCAACTGAACTCAGAGGAGAATTATCATCAAAACCACCTATAGAGAGAAAAAAAATTTCAAAGCATTACATTTTATAGACATTAACTGTTAAGTCTCAATTCAACAATGTCAACAAACCTAATCTTTTAAAAACATTTTAGAGAACAGAGAAAATTCGGAAAAAAAATTCACCTCAACACCTATCACCACTACCAACTCCTGTCAGATATTTTCTACAATTCAGGATAACTAAAATAGTATTTTATTGCGATACAAGCATTTAATCCTAAAGTAGGAAACACTGGAGTCTCTGTGTCTAAGACTATAATTTAAGAGAAAAGAAAAAAAAAACCAACAGACGTATAATTTTTCCTTAGCTTCCTGTGAGTAAGCAAGACAGCACCATCTGTACTGTGTGTATATGTGTGTATTGTCTTTTTAAACAGTAACAAGGCTTGAGAAGAAAATAAACTACATTAACTCATTTGACTCATTTAGATATAAGTTAAAGTTTTCCAACGGATTCCTTTAATACTATAATTGCCGTCATAACTAGAAACAGTACATTAGGATTGAATTCTTACCAATTTTTGTCAAAACTACATCCTCATGCTACAACATTGTAGGCGATGACAGTCCTCTCTGCAGCTCATTCTAACAATGTTACTGATAACATCCCTGAGGGTTAAACATAGACTGTTACTTTAACGGTGCTCTGCTTTTTCCTTTACAAATAAATGTCTCTCTTTAGGCTCTATTTCTCGTTAGTCTACATGAATCACAGTTTTCTTTGGTGACTAACCCTATTTTCCTGACAATAGGAAGTACTGATATTATGATCAACCTATTTAGAAACAAGGTCAGTAAAAAGAATATCAACAGGTAACTTCTCTAATGGCTTTACCTTGATGTAATCAACTAAGGTAAAATTCAGCAAATTTATGTGCATAACTTGACAAATTTTAACAAGTGTATCAACAAATGATAACAACTGTCATCACCACCATGACACAGAACATTCTCTCATTATAATACAGAGTTTAGTTTTAATTATTGCTCATGCTAATGTAAAAGATTAATTTTTTATTGGTTATATTTTTCATAGTCCTCTTTTGCACTGGTTCCCTATCATTTCCCTGGGCAATGCATATAAATGTAGAAGAAAGAATTCAAAGCAGAGAGAGGAAAGAGGATGCAACCAGCTTGTGAGATGTGTGCACACAGTTACCTCCAAAGCTTTCTTACTCAAAACAGTTATGTCTGTTTAGGATTTGAAGACTTAGAGGGTTTTTTTAATGTTCAACCTGAGTCAGTTTTATTCTTACCATATCTATTCCAACTATAAGGTTAGATTTAAAAGTAACAGCAACAATGATACTCCTACTGACATAACACATACTGCCTGTGCTGGACAGGGCGCTGTGAGGTAGCAACCGTGTACTGTAAAATCTGGTGTCTCATAGACCCAAGTCCAGATTCCAGCTTTGTCACTTGTTTAGGCACATGACTGTAAGTTATCCATCTCTCTGAGACTGACTCCATCACAGAAGTGCTGTGATCAGGCAAGATCTGAAGGTAAATCATGTTATTCCTTCTCTTCTTTAACACACGAGCACTGGAAGATTCAGCATTACTTTTATTACTTGCAGATATTTAAACACTAACAATATCCCATTCTCTTTTCAAAAACCCTAAGTTATGTAACACCAAACAATTTACATCAACATAAATATGACATGTGCTAGTGGCAAACTCTGAATTTGTTTCTTCCTCTGTAAAGGAAGAAATTACTAATCCCAATATAGCTACCTATTCATTGGGTAACTACAAAGTACCAGATGCAGTTGGAAAGGCTTAACATATATTACCTCTAACTCTTAAAACAATTTTGAAAGACAGGCATTATTATTCCCATCTCTCAATCCTTTAAAGCCTTACTATTGGAAGTGAGTAGACCAGAAATAGCATCAGGTATCACTAGGAAACTGACAAATATACAGAATCTGGGCCCCTCCTCTGCAGTTCAACAATACCTCCATATTATTTATATGCATATCAAAGTTTGAGAAAGCACTGCCCTGTGGTTCCTTCCAACTCTGCAAGGCACAAATTAATATAATGATGCCAATACCCATTCTGTATAGCTTAAAGTAGTCAACATAATTCCCTTGAGATGCAAAAAACATGCCCTAGATCTTTAAAGATTTTATCAAAGCACATTCAATTTCTGCCCTTAGATTAAAAAATATATGTCTTAAGGCCCTGGCTGGTGTAGCTCAGTGGATTGAGCGTGGGCCTGCAAACCAGACAATCACAGTTCGATTCCCAGTCAGGGCACATGCCCAGGTTGCAGGCGGGTTCCCTGCAGGCCAGTTCCCAGCAGGGGACGCACAAATGCAGCCATATATTGACGTTTCTCTCCCTCTCTCCTTCCCTTCTCCTCTAAAGATAAATAAATAAAATCTTTAAAAATATATATATATATGTCTTATTTAAATGTAGTCCCTTAGTTTATTAGATACACTTGCTACTCCATACTAGGATGGAGTTTAGTTTATCCCTTGGTTTAGATATACTTGCTGGGAGTATGGAGTAGCAAGTATATCTAAACTCTACCTGGAGGTAGAAGTTTCAAACATGAAACAGGAAGAGGTAAACAAAAAAGCATGAATGTCAACCCTAAGAATTCAAAAGCAAACCTTAGGATGGATTCCATTTGTACCTAAATGCATTATAATTTGTGTTATTGTGTTGTTTTATAACACTGCCATTGTACACCCTATAAAAAATTAGGCCAGAGAAGTATCACACACTCACCAACAACATATAAGCAACCGTGGAGCTCACTAACTCCATTGCCTGCTCTTCGTTGACCCATCTCTTTAACTTCTATCCACTTATCCAGATGTGGATCATACCGCTCCACACTAGATAAAGAAGCCACTCCATCGTTGCCACCTACTGCATAGACATGGTTCTAAGAGAAAATAAAAACATATCACATTAGACTTTGAATTTATTTATATATTATCCTCTTGGTATATCAGAATCTTTAAAGCAAGCAGCATTTTGTGGAATAATATGGAGTATAACTGATATGTGCACACTGAAGATACAAATATACCAGATCTTCCCTCATTTGGTTAGGGATGTGATACAATCCAGTCCAATGAGCAAGCTGCCATGTAACTTACTAGTAGAGCCACAGAGCCAACTCCTCCGCGGGGAATATTCATTGGTGCAACTGTACTCCACTGATCACATTCTATGTCATATCTCTCCACGTAGTTGAAGCAAGTGTTGTCATCTAACCCTCCAATTGCATAAATTGGGCCTCCTAAGGAGGCCAACGCAATTCCTCGCCTGTAAAGTTGATACAACACGTTTTAGCATCTGGTTTTGTTTTCAGAAAACAGGTAGCAAAAAAACAACTGTGCCAATGCAAGTCAATCATAATGTTAAACTTCAACGTATATTTAGATTTATCAAAGCTTCTAAACAGAGGGTTACAGTATTGTCAAATGTGCACATCTATGTTAACAGAGCCCTCAGGAGTTTTATGATGCATAGTCTATACTGGTTAACTTTAAACTCAAATGAAATAATAAGGTAAAAACCCAATAAAATACTATAAATGGAGTCTAAGACATTCAATTAGTAAAACAAGGTTGCATAACTGAGAGGTTGATAAATTGAAAGATGATTTATTATGGAGATCAGAAGTCAATGTCATTTCTAAATTCATGTAATTTGCAGAGCATGTTTGGTTGCAGGGTTTCACTGTACTGCACAAAAGAACATCAATTTTTATATTACAAACTTTATATGAAACTGCTTCACTTATGTAAGACATTTTTTTCTCTTCTTGGAAAAGAGATTTAGCTCATGTTAAATTACTGGAATGATGATCAGAAGAAGATGACATAAATTTCTTAAAAAAACACATTTCAGTGATTCAAAGTTGACCTATTCTAGAACTACATCTGTCACTGACTTGGTATGTATTTTAGATAAAGTAGTGTATCTTATAAATCTCCCCTACCTTGCTTCTTCTTCTGTAACCCATTTGAGACAGGAGAAGATAAAGCTGATATTAATGAGTTAATACAGACAAAGCACTAAGAACAGTGATGGACCCATACTTAGTGCTATGTATTAGCTATTGTTGGTGAGAGCAGCAGTTCTACTGAGATTCTAAGTTTACCAAAGCAGTATCCTGGGAAAGAATTCTTAAGGATAATGTTGTCATTCGTTTTCAGTAACCTTAACCTCTTTTCTCTTGAGTATAAAAAAATGACTCATAAAATATTATGGTTATACAACTATATGCCAAGAAATGTGAAAACCTGAGCAAAATGAACAAATTTCTAAAAAATCTAGAAAAAAAGTCTTCCAAAATCAAATGAAGAAGAAGCAGAAAGCCTGAACAGACCAGTAATAGCTGAAGAAATCAAAGCAATTATCAAAAAACTCCTGGCACACAAAGGCCCTGGACTGAATGGTTTCACAGGAGAATTCTACAAGCATTTAAAAAAGAGTTAACCCTATCTTCACAGACAATCCAAAAAATCCAAGAAGACGGAAGACTCCCCAAATCTTTTTATGAAGTCAGTACCATCCTAATCCCAAAACCAGATAAAGACACAACAAAGAAAGAAAACTTCAGGCCAATATCACTGATGAACAGACACTAAAATCCTGAAAAAAATAGTTGCAAATCACACCCAGCAATACATTAAAAAGATCATACACCATGATCAAGTGGAATTCATCCCAGGGATGCAAGGATGGTACGATATTTGTAAATCAATAAACGTAATACATCACATAAACAAAAGCAAAGACAAAAATCACATGATCATATCAATAGATACAGAAAAAGCATCTGACAGGGTACAACATCCATTTATGATAAAAACACTCAGCAAAGTGGGAATAGAGGGAGCATTCCTCAATATAATAAAGGCCACATATGAGATACCTACGGCCAATATCATACTCAATGGGCAAAAACTAAAAGCTTTCCCACTAAGATCAGTAACAAAACAAGGATGTCCTCTTTCACCACTTCTATTCAACATTGTATTGGAAGTCCCAGCCATTGTAATCAGATAAGAAAAAGAAATAAAATGTATCCAAACTGGAAAAAAGGAAGCAAAACTGTCATTGTTTGCAGATGACATGATAGTGTACACAGAAAAGTCCTATAGACTCCACCACAAAATTACTCCACCTAATAAGTGAATTTGGCAAAACAGTGGGATACAAAGTCAATATTCATAAATCAAAGGCATTTTTGAACAACAATAAAATATCTGAAACAGAAATCAGGGAAAAAATCCCATTTGACATAGCAACAAGAAAAATAAAGTAATTAGGAAGAAACCTAACCAAGGAGGTAAGACCTGTACTCAGTACAACACTGAAAAAAGAAATCAAGGAAGACACAAACAAATGGAAACATATACTGGGTTCATGGATTAAAAGAATTAACATCATCAAAATGTCCATACTACCCAAAGCAATTTATAGATTCAACACAATCCCTATGAAAATACCAATGACATATTTCACAGATATAGAACCAACATTTCAAACATTTATATGGAACTATAAATGACCCCAAATAGCTGCAAAAATTTTGAGAAAGAAGAACAAGTAGGAGGACAATACTTGATACCAAACTATATTATAAGGCCACGGTAATCAAAACAGTATAGTACTGACATAAGAACAGACACATAAATCAATGGAACAGAATAGAGAGCCCAGAAATAAACCCAAGTCTCTATGGTCAATTAATATTGGACAAAGAGGAAAGATACATACAATGGAGTAAAAATAGCCTCTTTAACAAATGGTGTTGGGAGATCTGGACAGCTACATGCAAAAAAAAAAAAAAAGAAACTTGATTACTAACTTACACCATACACAAAAATAAATTCAAGGTGGATAAAAGACTTAAATATAAGTTGTGACACCATAAAAGTCCTAGTGGAGAACACTGGCAGGAAAATCTCAGATATTCCACGCAGCAATATTTCCACTGATATGTCCCCTAGAGCAAGGGGCATAAAAGAAGAATAAACAAATGGGACTTCATCAAATCATAAATCTTCTGCATGGCTAAAGAAAACATCAACAAAATGGAAAGGGAACCAACCATATGGGAAAATATATTTGTAAATGATACCTTGGACAAGGGTTTGATCTCCAAAATATATAAAGAACTCACATGATGCCACTCCAGGAATATAAACCACCTAATTAAAAAAATAGGCTAAGGACCTGAACAGACACTTCTTCAAGGAGGACATCCAGAGGGTCCAGAGACATATGAAAGGACACTCAGCATCACTAGTCATCTGAGAGATGCAAACTAAAACCACAATGAGATGCCACTTCACACTGGTCAGAATGACCATCATAAACAAAGCAACAAGTGCTGGCAAGGTTGTGTAGAAAAGGGAACCCTAGTGCACTGTTGGTGGGAATGCAGACTGTTGAGCCACTGTGGAAAACAATATGGAATTTCCTCAGAAAACTAAAAATGGAACTGCCTTTTGACCCAGTAATTCCACTGCTGGGATTATACCCTAAGAATCCTGAAACACCAATTCAAAAGAACCTACACACCCCAACGTTCATAGCAGCACAATTTACAGTGGACAAGTGGTTGAAGCAACTAAGTGCCCATCAGTAAATGAGTGGATCAAAAAACTATGGCACATTTACTCAGTGGAATACTATACAGCAGAAAGAAGAAGGAACTCCTACCCTTTGTGACGGCATGGATGGATCTGGAAAGCATTATGCTAAGCGAAATAAGCCAGGCAGTGCAAGACAAATACCATATGATCTCACCAATAAGTGGAACCTAATCAATAAAACAAACAAGCAAGCAAAATAAAACCAAAGACACTGAAATAAAGAACAAACCGACAGTATCCAGAGAGGAGGGTGAAGAAGATAATGGAGGGAAAACGGGGAAGGGTCCTCAAGGAACATGTATAAAGATCACATGGACAAAGCCAATGGGCTGTAGAATCAAGAGTGGGAGGTGGAAATGGGTGGGGTGAGTGGAGTGGTGGGGAGGAAATGGAGATAACTGTACTTGAACAACAAGTGGTGGGGAGGAAATGGAGATAACTGTACTTGAACAATAAAAAATTATTTTAAATTTTAAAAATAATAATATATTGTGGTCATAAAACCTGCTGGTGTGTGAACACATGTGTGTACTCTAGAACACAAGGGTGCTGTATCATGGCAGAAGTAAGTGTGCCTAATAATTTCCCTCCCCACGCACCAAAGCACAAGAGCACATGACATTGGCTAGTTCCTATTCCTCAAAAGTCTTCTCTTGATTTTCATGACATTGCATGTTGGAGTTCCCTCCTACATCTCTGGCTGGTGCTTTTCAACTTCCTCTATCAGTGCCTTCTTTTCTACTCCTTCATTAAATTATGAAGTTTCCTAAGGCCTCTTATCACCCTATCATTTCTCGCTGTAGGCAATTCATCTTCAATGGATTTATGGTAACTCTTAATATCCAGACATATATCCAACTTCTACCTCCAATCTCTCTTGCTGGCTCTTCAGCCTTCACTACAGTGTGACATGAAACTCACTGTCTACTTCCCCATGACAGGCAGAATTCTAAGATGCTCCACCAGGATATTCACTCTCCAGTTTTTGCTTATGATATGCTCCCATTATATGGCAAAGGAGAGATTACATGAGTGTCTACTCTAATCATATATACCCTATAAAAGCAGAGAGGTTTATCCAGCTGGTAGCAGAAGAAAAGTCAGAAACTTAAAGAATGAGGTGGATTCTGCATGCCACTGCTTGACAATAGAGGAGAACACTTGGCAAAAACCTGAGAGTAGTCTCTAGGAGCTGAGAGAAGTTGCTGGCCCAACAGCCAGTACAAATGAGAAACTCCACCCTACAAGGATAAGGAACAGAATCCTATCAATAACCTACAGGACCTTGGAAGAAGCTTCTTCCCCAGAGCCTCCAGATAAGAGCTCAGCCCAGTCTACACCTTAATTTTGGCTGTGTAAGTCCCTAAGTGGAAAATCTAGTCATACCTATTGGACGTCTGACCTATGGAACAGTGAGCTAAAACATGAATGTTGCTTTAAGATGCTAAGTTTGTGGTGATTGGTTGCACAGCAATAAAATAATAACAGACCCATCACAAGACAAAAATTTTATTCTGTTCCTGTCTTGTTTTGTGTAATGCAAAAGAGTCACATCACTATCCATATCCAGATGCTTAAACCAAGAACTGAAGGATCATCCTTGCCTCTGCCTTATTTTTCTTTCTACCTCCCATACCTAATTATCTTGTTGATAATACACTTCTGAACTATTTCTCAAATATGCCCTCTTTTCTCTATTCCACTCTCTATTATTTTAGTCCAAGTCACCATTATTTCTTGACTGAAATATGACAACAATCCTTTTGGTCTCCCAGACTGTTTTCATGATAGTCCTTCTCAAATCCCTTCTCCATTTCATATGCAGAGAATCTTAGAAATGACAAGCATGATTATATCATCCCTACACTATTTAAATGTACATGTGTGTATGTGTATTTCAAAGCCCACTGGATAAAAAAAATCTGGGCAAATATGAAAGGCCCTCCTTCTGCTGTGGCTAATCTGATTTTCAAGGATTCTTCATTTTTTTCTGCATCCCCCCCCCCCGCCAACGCCATTCTTCCACCCACTACTACTTAACTAGGCTAAATTATTCTATCCCTTCAGATCTTAGGTTAAATGGGACTTCATGAAGATCTTTTCCACCCTCCAGCACTCTTTACTTGTGAGTGTTAGCCCACCCTGTGCTAACATTACTACTGACATGTAGTCAGTCATGTCTTTATTTGTATTTTCTGTTCTAGAATGTAAGCTCTATAGAAGCAGGGATTTGGGCTGTCTTATTATTGTATTTTCAGCCCTTGGTATATCTTGCAATGGTCACTTAACCAGTCTTTGTTGAATAAATAAATCAACCCCTAGAGATGCTCTGTTAGGATGAGGGGTTTCACTAAAACCACAGGTTAAATGAACACCAGTGTCCATTTTAGTGGAAAGATGAAAAAGAAGGGAGTAAAGAAAACCAGTTATTTTACATGTGAATATGATCTTGGAATGCATACTGAATGATTTCGGGGAATACAAATTGGTAAACAAATAATGACAAAATAATTGTAGTTCTGTTATTTCTTTATATAGTTGAGTAGCTACTGTGAAGTGCTCAGGGCATATTTTAAAAGATTAACGAAATTCAACTGCTATTTGCTAGATAATTTTCAGTTCTTGGCTAAAAACAGCTTAGCATAATAAAGAGGCAAGAAGATAAAGATTAAAAATGTACTTCAGGGTTTTCTCTCTCATTTTAATTCATGCACTACAATTTAAACTATTTGTAGTTACCATGTAGCATAAATCAAACCCTAATGAAGTATTAAAATGTCACTTGTACATAAATGGGAGGTAATAGCATATTTTAAGATCAGTTCATTTTTTTGTCTATTTCTCCCATCCCAGCCCCCCCTGCCCTGTCTCCCCACCTCCCTGCCATCCCCCCCCCCAGTCCTCATCCCTGTGTCTTTCATACTTGTTCCTCATAATCCCTCCCCATTATTCCCCTTAAATTCCCTTCCCTCTCCCCTCTGGTCACTGCCCACTTGTTCTCTATTTCAGTGCCTTTGTTTTTATTCTGTTTGCTTGTTTGTTTTATTCTTTAGCTTCCTGTCAAAGGTGAGATCGTATGGTATTTGTCCTTCAATGCCTGGCCTATTTCACTCAGCATAACTACCCTTTGCAACAACATGGATGGAACTGGAAAGCATTTTACAAAGCTACCCTTAAGCAGTATTTTGGATATTTATTCAGATAGCCCTTTTTCTTTCTGTTACTACATTTTCGCTCTGAAACAGAGGCAGAATTATTGTAGCTGGGTTTATGGAAATTATTAAGGTCAGTCTTTGAAATCCTCTCCCTATTTGCTGAATTTTAAATTTAAAAAATGAGAAGAACAGGTAAGTCAATCTCCCACTTGGTGCAAAAAATGTTATCTCTCTGACATATATTATTCCAGTCATTGGGAGGTATTATAGTGTGCTGTATTATTATTATATTGAACTATAAATATTTATTCCTTCTGTCTAAGGCGCCACACATCTCTTAAAATATCTAGATACTCTCTTAACTGCTTACGTCTCCCGACCAAAACTCTTCAGCAATTTTTTATATGACACGGTGTTCAGATCTCTTACCTACTAGTCTGTGCTTCCGTGCAGCCCACATTTATAACCATGTTTGGGGACGCCTATAGACCATAACTATTTTCAAATTATAAACATGTACTAACAGATTGTATTCATTATAAAACATCCACTTAAAATAAATTTAAAAGGATGCAATTAAAAATGTGCAGAGTCTCATATTTTATTCCTGCTCCCCAACTGATACTGCATATCGGCACTTTGAGACCAGAGCTAGTGATACAGATGGATCAGTGTAAAGAACAGAGCAACTGCAATCTCCTCTGATTGAAAGGCTTCAATTCCTTTAATGTAGGCAACTATATTATATTTGCTATTTTCCTCTCTCTCTCTCTTTTTTTAAATGCCGTACAAGTACTTTTTCCATATGAAACATAATCATAGACCTGACATCCCACCTATGTTGTTTGTGCTGGTATAAATGATTTTTTAAAATTATGTAAAGGAGGTTTTAATCTATAACTCTAATTTTAATATTTTTAGGTTTTACCTCTAGTTCTAGATTACACCTTTGGTCTACTACATCTCTGAATCCTGATTTTGCCACATATCTACAAATTTGGTATTTAACTCATTTTGAAAATTCTGAACAGGCTAGTCAACATTTACTAAGTCACATTACTAGATACCTTCCTCTCATTTAAACTGATCCATTTATTGACATGTATTTCAATTTATTATAGATGAAGATTTTAAATATTAATACACATAATGATAAAAAGCAATTAATAGAAATAGTGGGATATTTTCTTATCATGTTAGAATACATATACCTTAGTCCTAAAGCCATTATCTTATTAGGGAAACATTTTTAATTCTCAAGAAAATGAAAAGAAGTTATAATAAAGCATCCCACTGGATGCTTTAACAAAACGTATTTAAGAAGATAGTCAAAGGTTCTAAAAATGTAAAAAGTAAAAAAGTATCCCGTTCAAAGGAAGCTCTATTTTCTACCAAAAAGATAAAAATAAATGTCCATGCTGATCTACCTCTTTGTGTTCATTGATGCCTTCATCATCCATTTATTAGTGAGAGGATCAAACATCTCCATGCTACCTAAATGTTCATTTCCATCATGTCCACCTACTGCATACACTTTACCTGTCAAATAAAAAAGTATTTTGATTTGATTCCACAAAAACCTAGTTATTTACAATCAATATACAAGGTCTTTCCAGAAAAAGTCCAGCCATTGTTAATAAGAACAGTTCCAACTACACTGGTGTGAACTGGCAGCCGAAGAGAATGGACTGAAATGCACATACGTGAACGACAACTTTACTGTACTTATCAGTGGGGGTGGTAGATGCCATTGAGTGAGCATGTGTACTGTGTGATCATCTCATTCAAAATGGCTAAGCAAGTAGAGCAACAAAACTATATCAAATTTCGTGTTAAGCCTAAACATTCCTCCAAGGAAACTATTCAGATGTTTCAGAAGGCCACAGTTATGGGCAACTGGTGACTGGCAGCTTCATCATGACAACATGCCTGCTCATGCATCAGGTCTCCTGCAGTTTTTTTGTGAAACGTCATCTCACTCAGGTGACTCAGCCCCCTACAGCCCAGATTTGGCACCCTGCGAAATCACCTTTGAAAGGGAAGAGATTTCAGACCATTGATGAGATCTGGGAAAATACAATGGGGCAGCTGATGGAAACTGGGAGAACTGTGTGAGGTCACAAGGTGCCTACTTTGAAGTGGACTGAGGCATCACCATCCTATATACCATGTTCTTGTGTCTTGATCTTCTCTCAATGTCTCTATTTTTCATATGAAATGGCTAGATACCTTCTGGACAGATCTTGTATAACTAAAACAGCATAATAATTTTCAACAAGTTTTCTTCTGGCCAACATTATGATCAATGTCACTTATGTAGTCAGGTGAAAATAAATGTATGCTTCTACTTAATAAAATGCCTGGAATGTGCTGTTCTACATGGAGTTATTTAAATGCTCAAAGACTATCCCTCTCTTAGGTTTCCCAACATTTTTATTATTTAGTAGATAAAATCAGTAAACAATGCTTTCATAGAATATTTAGTAAAATAAAAAAATTCCCTTATGTAACATAAAGAAAATATAAAACTTAATACAATACAATCAAACTTTTTCTAAATGAAATAAATAAAATACACAAACAAACTGGAAAGGTATATATCAAAATGTTAAGTGTGACAATCTGGATGTTTGGGTTACAGATAATTTTTACTTTGATTAAAGTGTTTTATTTCCCCAAAAAAGCATTTATGTGTTTATAATCAGCATAAAAGTGATTTTTAAAAAGTCTAATAATTTTTCCATGTTTTCTGCAATTAATCATTTTCAGTAACCAGTAAAAAAAAAACCCATTTCAATAATAATTAGATGGGTATAGAAAAAAGCTAATATGTATTTATTACTTAGGTAATAAATTTATGTATTTATTACTTAGGTTCAATAAATATTTAGGTTGATTCTTTTATAAATATAGTTTATTTTAACTCCCTTTTCCCTGATATTCATCTTCTGAAAAGCAACTACATGCAAGAGACTGCACACTGAGCATCAATGGGCATAAAGCAAGTAAATAATCATCACCCAAATATTTTATTAATATACTGAAACATATTTTATCATTTAGCAATTTTCTTATAGAAAGCATTCTCAAAGTTCAAATATTTTAAACGAGCATTGTGATTATGTGATGAGATTTATACAGTACTGATCCCACCTTCCACAGAGATGACACCCACATGTCGCCTTCGACTATTCATTTCTGGTCCGAAGAACCAACTGTTTTTGTTGATAGAATAGCACTCAATACTGCGAAAAGGGTCACCAGATCCACCTCGACCACCCACACAAAACAGCACACCTAAAGGTAAAGCCACAAACAGAGGTCAAAATCAAAGTTGCCAAATTTTACAAAAATTAATATGGAAAAGTGTTCAGGAAATTAAAATTTTTATTAATGGTAAAAAAATGAGTTATTTGGGTAGCATTCAGTGTTACTACATTATTAGAAATATCTCTTTTCTGTATTTTCTCATTTGGTTTTTCTCAAAGAATGGGACACATTAACTACCCCTGCTTGCTAACATCCCATTACAATACAGTTTGATCCTCACCTGCTAGGCAAAATTGCTCTAAGGTCATCAATAAGAACCAATGAACTCTTTTTTAAAAAATACATTTTATAGATTATGCATTACAGTTGTCCTATTTCCCTCACTTCATTCTCCTCCACCCTGCACACCCCTCCCTCACCATCCCCCCTTTAGTTTATGTCCACATGTCTCAAGTTCTTTAGATTCTATATTTCCCATACTATTCTTGCCCTCCCCCCTATTTTCTACCTACCGTCTATGCTACTTATTTTTTGTACCTTCTCCCCCCTTCTCCTTCTCCCATTCCCCTGTTGCTAACCCTCCATGTGATCTTCATTTCTATGGTTCCACTCCTGATCTAGCTGTCCTCTTAGTTTGCTTTCATTTTAGGTGTGGTTGTTAGTAACTGTGAGTTTGCTGTCCTTTCACTGTTCATATTTTTTATCTTCTTTTTCTTAGATAAGTCCCTTTAACATTTCATATAATAAGGGCTTGGTGATGATGACCTCCTTGAATTTGATCTTATCTGAGAAGCACTTTATCTGTCCTTCCATTCTAAATGAAAGTTTTGCTGGATAGAGCAATCTTGGTTGTAGGTCTTTGGATTTCATGAGTTGGAATACCTCTTTCCAGCCCCTTCTTGCCTGTAAGGTCTCTTTTGAGAAATCTGCTGACAGTCTGATGGGGACTCCTTTATAGGTGACTGTCCCCTCAGCTCTTGCTGCTTCTAGGATTCTCTCCTTCATTTTAATCTTGGCTAATGTAATGATGATGTGCCTTGGTGTGTTCCTACTTGGGTCCAACTTCCTTGGGACTCTGTGAGCTTCCTGGATTTCCCGGAAGTCTATTTCCTTTGCCAGATTGGGGAAATTCTCCTTTATTATTGGTTCAAATAAGTTTTCCACTAGTGGCTCTTCCTCTTCCCCTTCTGGTACTCCTATAATTTGGATGTTGGAGCATTTAAAGATGTCCTGGAGGTCCCTCAGCCTCTCCTCATGTTTTTGAATTCTTGTTTCTTCATACTTTTCTGTTTGGTCATTTTTTTTTCTTCCTTCTGGCCCACTCCATTGATTTGAGTCCCAGTTTCCTTTCCATCACTATTGGTTCCCTGTGCATTTCCCTTCATTTCAATTAGTTTAGCCTTCATATGTTCCTCTAATTTGTGACTAAAATCAACCAGTTCTGTGAGCATCCTGATCACCAGTGTTTTGAACTGTGCATCTGATAGGTTGGCTATTTCTTGGTTGCCTAGAGTTATTGGCTCTGGGGCTTTGAGTTCTTCTTGAACCATCATGTTTTGGTCTGTTCTCACCTGTTATGAATGAGGGGCAGAGCCCTAGGTGTTCACCAGGGCGGGGCTACTCAGTTGCTGGGTTGTGATGCTGTGTGTGGGGGCGGGGTCAGAGAGGGGCAATGGTGGTCCCTTCTGCTGCTTCCCGTAAGCCGCTGGGGCCTGTGCAATCTGTCTCACTGCTTGCTCCTTTGCCTGGTTTATCTGCACATGAATGTGTGACCGTGGTTAGCCTAACAACTTGCGGCCTCACTGGGTCCGCCTGTTGCCACCCCACGCCTGGGCTGCGTGAGCACCTGGGTCGGTTCAGCAGATCTTTCCCGCCCAACCCCGCTCTGCCCCTGGCTCCGCTCCTCTGACCGGTCTGGCTAAACAGTTCATTGTTGTCGGAAGTGACTTCCGTATAGTTCAATTTTCTGTGTTTTGTTTGCATTTTTGTTACTAAAACTTTGTTGTCTTTAAACTTGGTTGTGCGAGGAGGCACAATGTTTCCACCTACACCTCCATCTTGGCCCAAGAACCAATGAACTCCTAATCTCATACTAAACACCACTGCAACATTTGATCACTGTTTTTTGAGAAATTTCCTTAACTCTCTTGGCTTCCCTAATGTCAGTCTCCTTTTGTGTCTGATCATTTCTCTTTTTCCTGTTTTTCATCGTTCATCCTAGGCCTACTTCTCATATACTTCCTGCTCACACAGAAACATTTTTATTCCTCTACTTTAAGTCCCATCTGTATCATAGTGACTTCCAATTTATATTTGTAAGCCACATTTCCACTTGATGTCCCACAGGCACCCAAACCCAACATGTTCAAAAGGATCTCCCTTCCTCACCTGCCTAAACCACCTCTCCCTTCCCTGAGGCGCCCTCCTCGTACTTCACTGTTCGCACTGCCCCTGCCTCAGTGCAGGCCCTCATCAGCCAGTACCGACCACTGCAAAGTCCTTATCACTTAGTTGCCTTTTTGCTTTTGGACTGCCAACAGAGTGATCTATAAAGGTTCTTGCCACACCTTTTCATTACCTACATCAACAGTTCCTTAAAAGTGTGAGCAACACCACTAAATTATACATTTAAAAATGGCAACTTTAACATTAATACAAGCATACTTCAGAGGTACTGTGGGTCCAGGTCCAGACTACCCCAATAACGCCAATATCACAATACAGCCAGTCACAAGAATTCTTTGGTTTCCCAATGCATATAAAAGCTAAAATGGGGAAAGCCTATGTGTATTTTATCACAATTAACAAGAAACCAAAGTTTCAGTGTGCTTCAGAATCACCCTTATGGCATAAAACACTGATTGTGGGGCCTGACAGCCAAAGTTCCCGATTCGGTAAGTCTGCTGTAGGTTCAAGACTGTATTTCTAACAAGTTCCCAAGTGAATGCCGATGCCACCGGTCCAGGCACCACCATTTCCTTCACACTGTGAGAACCCCTGCCATACAAGACGAAGCCTCAGCACGGCATAAAGGCCCTGCAGTTTCTAACCTGATTTCCCCCCCTTTCTCTTAAAACTTCAAGCTCTTGCAACATGGGTCTACTTAGCACTCATCCTTGATGTTCTGATAGGAACTTTTTGGCAACTTTTACTTAATACACTATTTTAAAATGATCTATATTATGCTGATATTTGTCACCAGACGCTAAGCTAGGTTAAGAGTGTGTGTTAAAGTATTTATGCACTAATAAGAACCACCATAGTCCCTGGCATGTTTTAGGCATTCGATAAATGTAAAATAAACAGAATACCCCTTTTTCCCTAATTGGCACCGAGAAAAACATCTATTTATTATTAAAACCAAGGCTGAGGTTTACTTTTTTATAAAACCTTCTCTGACCCTTGCAAGGTGAAAATGACCACTCTTTTATTTGTGCTTCCCACTACACGTTATGATTAAATAAAAGTATTTGTAATACTTTATGGCATTTATTTACTGACATGTCTATTTCCCTAGATCAGACTACAAGTTCTCTCAAAACAAGGAGGGCTATTTGTGTTTGCATTTCTAATGCTAACTAGAACCCAGCATGTGGTAGGCACTTAATAAATGTTTGCTGAATGACTGAATAAATGAATGATCAGAACTGCTTGTGCTGTCTTTTCTAACTAATTCAATATTTTATGTCAGAGAAATTTAAAGTTGGAAGAGACTTTAAAAATCACGAAGTCAAAATTGTTTATAAGTAAATTAAGGCCATCAGAGATTAAGAAATCTGCTCAAAATACAGATGTTTAATAGCACTGCTGGAATTATAATCCCAGAATGTAACTATAATCATTGATGAGATTTTCTTTAAATGTAAATCAGTATTTTAGCTACCTAGGTCACCTAAGAACATGACATGGGAGAAAAGAAAACTGAAAATAAAGCAAAAAGATCAGGATGCAGATCCTCTCTCTGTGGGTCCTTGACCACACTTTCACCCTCTCTGATTCTTAGCCTCATCCATAAAATGGAATAATGCCAAATATCTCATAATGAGGATCAAATCCTTCACTAACGCCTACTTCATTAAGTCCCTGCAATCATGTAAGGGATCATATGTATGAGGGTCGGCCTATGTTGTTTGGCAGTTAAACCTAGACTGCCAAGATGTTGTTTGAGTTCAAACCTAAATTTGAAGAATTTCATTAAATACCTTGACATCCTGAAACAGGATTCACAACTAAAATAAATCCATACTTTAAAATCATTTAATTATAAAGTAAAATAATTTAATTTATAAAGTAATTATAAAGTAGAACCAGCCTATAAAAAAAGAAAAGAAATCAGCAGTCCTTTTCTGTTAAAATTATTTAGAATGACTATATACTTCATAGCAGGTCTATGACATTCAAACTTTCTTTACACTACATAGATAAAATCCCACTATATATAATGAAATATTGCCTTCTGTTGTCATTTTAGGCTATTCCATTGGTATCTTTGATAATAACTATATTAGATAGCAGCAAATTTAGAGGAAGTTTCTGGTCAGAGTACTGACACCTGAGTTCTTGGGCCTCATCTGTTTTTTCCTCTCCCTCATACATTTTTTGTTTATAAAGAGTAACATTAGAGACTTCCGCCAAGATGGAGGCATAGGTGGATGTGCCATGCCTTCTCACACAACCAAGTTTAGGGACAACTAAATATTAGCAACACAAAACACAGCCAGAACACGGAAAATTGAACTTTTCGGAAGTCCGTTAACAACAAATTCTGCACCCTGACAGGTAAGGGGCGAAACCAGTGGCTGGTGGAGCGGGATTGCACAGGAGGACTCGGTCAGACGGGCTCAGGCGCGGAATCCAGACGCAGGGTTGGACCTAGTGAGCGACCGAGCGAGTGACCAGGCGAGGGACCACGGGGGAGACAGTGGGGGAGCGGTGCTGCGTGTTGACTGTGGTCGCCTATTTGTGCGCCGGCGGACAGGCGAGGGAGTGGGCGGTTGGACCGGGGCTCGGCGGGTCCCCTCGGCAAG